AAATCCATAATTTAATCTAATATATTTTTATAATAGCTGAGTCTTGCTTGATTCTCTTTAGTTTTGATTTCTTTTTATTAAGTCTTCATTTATTGGATTCTCTCTTTTGATGACTCAATAGTAGTCACTTTATAGTTATTCAATTTCTCAACTAAACATTTACCACAAAAGAATTAGATCTGTGCCTTATCTGATAAATCAAAATCAACAGCAATTAATTCAAGATTATGAATTTTGCATATTGTTTCTGATACTTCCTGTACTTATTTTTGATTTATGATGTTCATGTTTATTATTTAAATTAATTAATCTAATTATATATCATTTAATCAACCTTTATTTATGATAACTATTCATCCATTCTAATTCTATCATTTAATTTATATAAAAATAAGTATTATTATGATCTATTTTAAAGAGTTCTTGAGGCTTTCATTAATAAAATATTAACTAAGGGCTAATAATTTTGAAAATAAGTTACAGATTCTTTCAATATATAAGTCTTGCATAAAATTCTATATCATAAATTTAACTGATATTGAAATTTACTTTTGTAAAAACTTACAGGCTTGATTGATAAATTTTAAGTTTTGAAATTTTTAGTTTGATTTTATTTTTAATCTTAATTGACGACTAATCTGCATAAGTAATTTAAAGTTGGATCATTTAAGTTTATCTAATTTAGGATTAAGTATTTTAGGTGAAAAGGAAAAAAAATAAAAATCCTCTTCTATTTTATGGCAAATAAAAATTGAATGAATTATAAGGAGGAGATCCTTAACTAATTTTTTAGGTTGAAATATTATTCTAGGTTTTTTCAATAGAAAACAATCAATCATAAATCAAAATTTGGTAAAGTTGAATTTAGCATATTTTCAATGGCCAACAATTCTATATTTAGTAATATCTAGTGATTGATTAACAAGAAAAAATCTATTTTCTCTTTTTTCATTATTAGGAAATTCATCCCAAAAAATTGAAGTAATGTAAAAACAAAACTTTTTAATCTGTTACCTATGGCAATTATTAACAAAAGAAAACAGATATAATATTATTTAAGCAAAAAGGATTAAATATAATTAAGTTAACAATTTACTCTACAAAAAATTGGTACTAAATGATACTGTTTTATCATAAAAATTTAGTACCCGAAATCTTCAATAAAAACAAAAGATTATTTATGGCAATGTCGACTTCAAAACTTATTATTTGAAATTTCATTGTTAAATTACTTCAAAATGAGTGTTAAACTCTATAATTGATTTTCTATTAAAAAGAAATTGATTCTAATGGAAAATATTATTGCCTTAAAGGAAATTGTAAAATTTTGGAAATATTTATAGATTAAGACTCTTCTAGAATTGAGATTATAAATTAATTAATTATAAATTTAATTTTTAAGCAAATGAAAATCCTGAAATTTCCTTATTTGCTTATAAGTGCAACAAAAATTTATAACAATGCAAATTTGAATGTTATAATCTTAACTATGACTCTATTTTCATCTACTTTTAATTATAAAGGCTTATATTATTTCTAATAATTTAAATATACTAATAGATGTAATCATTCAATAATTTTATTCTAAGAATCTTAAAGCTTATCTTTCCTTATCTCATCACTACTATCACTCAGAACTTATTTCTGTTATTATTATATTTTAAGCAAAGTTTTTACACATGGAGATAAAATAGTGTTAAGCTCTATTTTTTTTAAATATTTATAAAAAAATCCTTAGATACCTTGGATAAAGACCTATAAATTTAATAATATAAAATGAATTGATTTTAAATATGTTCGATCAGGAATATTAAATCATATAATCTCATTCACTTAATGATATTATCACAGAATAATAATGAAAGAATATTTATTTCAATTATTAATGTTAGTTTTATGAATAAAATACTTAATAATTAATATGTTATATATTTAATATTTCAAACTTATTCATCATATGAATGTTTTTTAATAATTCCAAAATATCCATCCCAAAAATCATAGATTTTAAAGCCAAACAATTAAATACTTTTATCAAATATTGGATCAACTTGAGCAGTTATGATTTTAACTTTGAATATTCTTTAAGGACTTTTTTCAACCCTAATTCACAACTAACAAAATATAAATTATTCTTAGTTAAAGTACCTTTTATATTACGTAAATTTTATAAATTAAAAATTTTAAATAACAATTATTTTACTCGCTTTATTAAGAAATCATTTACTTTCATTTTATATTATACACTCTAAGAATTTGGTTATGTAATGATAAAATAATATGAATTGAGTCACAACTGATTTTAATGTTTATAATTGTGTCAGCCTGTTTATCAAAGAAGGTAAATCTCACTCATCGAGCATACCCACTCTCTCAGGGTCCCTCTCAAAACCTCTACTCCGAGTTCAAATTTTTGAACCTCCCTTCTCCTACTGACAGCCATCCTGCTTCAGAAGGACACCCTATATTACCAGAACCTGCATTGCGAAGCTATTCGGACTCCTTCTTCGTGGGCTTCCGAGTCTAGTAGCCGTTGTGACACTTTTTTGCTGCAAAAAGGTTAGTTTAAGTGGGTCTTTTTTTTCAAAGGCTCGATCTTGGAAGTGCTTAAATTGTCATTTTTTTTGAAAGAATATCAAATATGGTTAAGTTTAGTATTGATAGCATATGTGTCCATATCTCTATTTAATATAAAAAGATTTATATAATATTTTATTTTGATTAAACCAAATTGAGAATTGTGATTTAATTGAACAATTATCAAATGTATTCAATAAATCTAGTTTATTAAGAAAAATTAAATTACATAAATTAGACCTTTTAAAAGAAGTTGTAATTAAACTCATGAAGGATATTATAGAAAGCTTAGTATCATTCTAAGATCAAGAATGTAAGCAGATAATGAGCTAAATGGTAACGGCCACTCTGAAGAAAAGATCTAAGAAATTAAGGAATCAGGAGATAAAATTACATCTGAAAAATAGGATCTCTTTTTTGAAACTTGGTAGGCTGACTAAGTGATATAATTACTTCTTTTTCAACCCTTGTGGCTTGGGGTCCCTGAAGCTTATGTAGATGATACAATTCTTGGGTAAGATCTACATATTGTAGTGTATTATACAGCCTTTTGATGAAGGCCTTTAAAATTCTGTAAGAATATATATGCTTTTTTCATCCTGATAGAGTTAAAGACTTGTGTTTTATATCTGGTACTCAAAATTGAGTTCCAAAAATGAAAAGATTTATCCATCTATATCATTCAATATTATTATTGTTGTCATTAGACCTTTTTAATATAATTAAAAATTCAATTGTTATTTTTTCATAATTTTATTAATCTTCTAGGTATACACAATTAATAATAAAAATTAAGAACTTCAGAATGTAGGATCTTAAAATGTTTTTAACAAATATTTAAGATATTTTATGGAAATAATATTAGTATTGAACAAATAATAATAATTATTAATAGGATAATGAGTAATTTTTTGTTTTTTTTATAATATATATTCTAATTGATTTATTTATTGAACAAAAAGATTATATAAAAATAATAATAGATAACCTACCAACTCATCTATCTATTGAGATAAGCTATGTCAACACATTTAAATTTTTTTCCTTTAAAAAATGGCTGGTTAAAACTTTAGAAAATATATCATTGTAATTAATACATCTACTGAAGGTTTTTGTTTTTATCATAAATATTAGTAAACTATTATATTAAAGCTCCATCATAAAGATTATTTACCAAAGATTTAAACTAAATATGATGAAAATAAAAACAATAACTAAATATAATTAGGTGATTATTGAATCTAACAATAAATTGTGTTGAAAAAGTCTAATATCTTTTGAAAATTAGAAAACTTATATTTTTCTCTCTTATTTGTAATTATACACATCTCTTTCTAAAAGTTCCTCATTATCAAAATCATGTACCTTTTGATCGAATAAGTAGTTAGATTTGACCTTAGATTTGGCANGCGAAGCTATTCGGACTCCTTCTTCGTGGGCTTCCGAGTCTAGTAGCCGTTGTGACACTTTTTTGCTGCAAAAAGGTTAGTTTAAGTGGGTCTTTTTTTTCAAAGGCTCGATCTTGGAAGTGCTTAAATTGTCATTTTTTTTGAAAGAATATCAAATATGGTTAAGTTTAGTATTGATAGCATATGTGTCCATATCTCTATTTAATATAAAAAGATTTATATAATATTTTATTTTGATTAAACCAAATTGAGAATTGTGATTTAATTGAACAATTATCAAATGTATTCAATAAATCTAGTTTATTAAGAAAAATTAAATTACATAAATTAGACCTTTTAAAAGAAGTTGTAATTAAACTCATGAAGGATATTATAGAAAGCTTAGTATCATTCTAAGATCAAGAATGTAAGCAGATAATGAGCTAAATGGTAACGGCCACTCTGAAGAAAAGATCTAAGAAATTAAGGAATCAGGAGATAAAATTACATCTGAAAAATAGGATCTCTTTTTTGAAACTTGGTAGGCTGACTAAGTGATATAATTACTTCTTTTTCAACCCTTGTGGCTTGGGGTCCCTGAAGCTTATGTAGATGATACAATTCTTGGGTAAGATCTACATATTGTAGTGTATTATACAGCCTTTTGATGAAGGCCTTTAAAATTCTGTAAGAATATATATGCTTTTTTCATCCTGATAGAGTTAAAGACTTGTGTTTTATATCTGGTACTCAAAATTGAGTTCCAAAAATGAAAAGATTTATCCATCTATATCATTCAATATTATTATTGTTGTCATTAGACCTTTTTAATATAATTAAAAATTCAATTGTTATTTTTTCATAATTTTATTAATCTTCTAGGTATACACAATTAATAATAAAAATTAAGAACTTCAGAATGTAGGATCTTAAAATGTTTTTAACAAATATTTAAGATATTTTATGGAAATAATATTAGTATTGAACAAATAATAATAATTATTAATAGGATAATGAGTAATTTTTTGTTTTTTTTATAATATATATTCTAATTGATTTATTTATTGAACAAAAAGATTATATAAAAATAATAATAGATAACCTACCAACTCATCTATCTATTGAGATAAGCTATGTCAACACATTTAAATTTTTTTCCTTTAAAAAATGGCTGGTTAAAACTTTAGAAAATATATCATTGTAATTAATACATCTACTGAAGGTTTTTGTTTTTATCATAAATATTAGTAAACTATTATATTAAAGCTCCATCATAAAGATTATTTACCAAAGATTTAAACTAAATATGATGAAAATAAAAACAATAACTAAATATAATTAGGTGATTATTGAATCTAACAATAAATTGTGTTGAAAAAGTCTAATATCTTTTGAAAATTAGAAAACTTATATTTTTCTCTCTTATTTGTAATTATACACATCTCTTTCTAAAAGTTCCTCATTATCAAAATCATGTACCTTTTGATCGAATAAGTAGTTAGATTTGACCTTAGATTTGGCAATCAATGAATAGCTGGTTGTGTTCTGGAAACAAATTTCCACCAGATTCTTATTTTATGGCTCCCCTTACTCTTACGAGTGTTCCATATCTATTCATGGTCATTCGATATAGGTGACTCCTAATTACTCCTTAGACAGATAAGAACACTTTCAATCTTATCAATTGGAAAATTGCTCAAATATCTTAATTTTATTAAGTAATTTACATAATTAGTTTAAATACTAAAATTTGTAGTAATATTTGGATTGATCCAAAGAATTATATTCAGAAGAAATGGTTTCTTTGCTATTTGAAAGTAATCGTCATAGTCATCTCTTAATTGTTCCAAGTCTCTATTAAGAATAACTTCTGCAAAACTTGTCATTAGCAGTGTATTTTATGGAAAGGATAATTATTATAAGCTGAAAAAACATCTTGCAAATATTGGCTGATCCCTATTTATGCACCACACTTATCCTGAGTATAATGCGATCATTATTAGTTCTCTTCTCCTTGAAGGATGAATTGATGCGAAAGATCTTTATTTTAATGATATTCTATTTCGATGTATACCAACTATCATTAAATATTTCCTCTTGCCTTTCTTAATTGTTGGAATTTCATTTTAAATAGAGTTCACTTTTTCTTTCTTAAGTAGAAAATTTGATAAAGCTATATAGAAGGATTATTTCTTAAAATAGAATCACCTAAACATTCTAAATTTAGTTTTTATTTATTTTTCTATTTAATATAGGATAAATTTTACGATAATAAAAAATAATTTTAGGTTTTAAACTTCAAATCCTATGGTTAATTTACTTTAATTGGATTCCTGATAATATTGTACATATTTGTAAAATACTATACTAAATTTGTCAACACTAATTGCTTTGGCTTTAAATTTATCTATTATATTAGACTCATGAATAATACAATTATTTAAATTATTGGGATTAAATTTTATTATCTCAATAAAAGCCTTTGTAAAATAAATGGTATATTTAATAAAAAGGTATACTACAATTGGTCCATGCTAATAGTTGGGATCTAATATTTAAAGTTTTATTGTATTTAGCTTCTAATTCTATGCTTGGAATAAGAGAAATAATTTCTACTATTCTTTCAATTAGATACTTAGTATCCTTAATAATTATTATAAGTTAAAATTCCAAAAAAGATGATATTATTTTAATTAAAAAATTTTTATTTTTAATAGTTCTTATTATCATGTAAAGTTGCCCACTTATATTATTTTTGGATCTTGGATAAATAATTAATATTGAATTTACTACAAATAAACTTGATTTATTCATCATTATTTGGATGGAAGAACCAGTATAAATACAATATATTTTATGTATATATAATGGTCCTTATGATTAAAATTATTATTTTATTGATAATACATATTTTTGTATGATTTAAATTATTTATAATTAGATTAATAAACATTGTTTGAATTTGCTTAAATTAGTTTTTTGGTATCAGCTTTAGCATCTCCCTTAGTTAGGTGTGAATATTAGTTTTTTCTGTAAAGTTAGATCATATTATTTGAAAAATAGAAAGAAGATGGATCCAATTTATGTTAAAAATATATTTTGGATAGTTGAAAACAATTGCAATAAGTGATTATAATAAAGTATTATTTTTTATTTATTAAATCAATTTGAGAATTTTAATTTTACCTTTTGTTTATGTTATTATCTTTAATTATCGAATCTTTTAATATAATCAATTTGATTAAGTTTAGTTATTATATTAAGATGCTATTTTTTTAATCTACTTCTTTTATAAATAAATTAATAGGTTTAAACATTTTTATAACAAAATATAGCTATCGATTTTATAAGGGTAATATATTTATAATTAATGAAACATTAGTTTCATAAGATACTTCAGTTGTGGAACAGTGTACTGATATAATCTATCACTATTTAAACTAATTAATTTAAATTTCGGGGATGTTGTGGATTCAGAGTTGGATAAATAATATCTTAAAATTGTATTACACCAATCTTTAATTACATATTTATTTTATAATTGATTTATTATAAATGTTATTTACAAAGTTTAAACCAACATAATTTCAATTAACTACCAGGTTCACAAAGAAAACACTACTGAAATTAAGGTGAATTTAAGATTTTAGATTAATAAAGTATTTTCAGTTT